CTGTTCTTCTCACCGCCACCCACGCCTCTTCTTCACAAGTGAAGTCTTCGACATCGAAAGGGCACCATAAGTCTAATTCTCATCCTTCTCCTTCATCTTCAAATTCTCCAATAATGGAGTCACTGCAAAACTTGTTCTTAATGAGGTGAGGAAGAAGATTGAAGGTAGAAGTTCAGATATGTATTCACTGGTTTTTACATGTATATATATACAAGAACGGAAGCTGCCTTATTTTACACTTATGGAAAGAACTGATGAAAAGGAAATATACAAAAGGAATGAAATCTTAATTATTGCAGATTGGTAGAATAATCGGGAGAATCATCTAAGCTTGATTTCCCTGGTGATTGAGCCATTGACGGAGAATCATTCAACTTTGATTTCCCTTGTGATTGAGCCACTGATGGTGCAGTATCTGCAGTTGCCTTAATACGCCCCCGCAAGATGGTGGAGCCATCGACGACACCAATCTTGGACCGTAGCAAGGCAAAGCGGAAGGAAGGTAATGGTTTGGTTAGCCCATCTGCAAGTTGATCTGCGGAGGCAATGTGAGAAACACGAAGAATTCTCTTGTCAACTAAATCACGAATAAAGTGGAGATCAATTGCAATGTGCTTCATACGTGAATGCATGACTGGATTACTGCTGAGGTAGGTAGCACCAACATTGTCACAGTAGAGAACAGGTGGAGTACCAGAAGGAAGACCAAGCTCACGCAACAAATGCAGGACCCAAACTAACTCAGAGGAAGCAGCGGCCAAGGCTCTATACTCTGCCTCGATAGAGCTTCGAGCAATGGCTTTTTGTTTGCTAGCCTTCCAAGATATAGGTGTGGCACCGAGAAAGACAAGATAATCGGTAGTAGAAACAAAGGTGTCTTTGTCACCTGCCTAGTCAGAATCACTAAAAGCATGGAGGGTGAGACTAGAGCTGGATCGTATCAATAAGCCATGGAACATGGTGCCCTTCAAATACCGTAGAATCCGTTTGACTACCTGCCAGTGCAACTCAGTGGGACAATGCATATACTGAGACAACTTATTTACTGCAAATAAAATGTCAGGACGAGTTAAGGACAAGTACTGCAAAGAGCCCAGTAATTGCCTGTAAGCTGTAGCATCGGAGAGAGGAGGAGAACCACTCTGAGGTGACAAACCCGAGGAGGACATCGGTGTGGCAATGGTTTTGGCACCATCCATTTTGCTTTTCTGTAAGAGATCATTGATGTATCAGTGCTGAGAGAGAAATAAACCGGCAGAAGTTTTAACTGCCTCAACACCCAAAAACAGACTAAGTTCACCGAGGTCCTTTAATGAAAATTTCTGCCCCAACTTGGTGATTAAATCTGAGATGAAAGCAGTACTGTTGCCAGTAATCAGTAGATCATCAACATAAACTAACACATAGAGAACAATCCCGGATTTATTATAAATAAACAAGGAACAATCAGAGCGAGAGTTAACCAAGCCACAAGCAAGCAAGAATTGCTTTAATTCTGTATACCAAGCTCGGGGAGCCTGCTTGAGTCCATAGATGGCTTTCTTCAATTTACAGACATGATGAGGAAGATTTTGATCAATGAAGCCGGCCGATTGAGCCATATATAAATCTTCCTCAACAAAGCCATGGAGAAACGCATTATTCACATCAAGTTGCCGAATTGGCCAGGCTTGATTGACAGCAATGGTGAACACAGTGCGGATGGTGGTGGGTTTTATAACAGGGCTAAAGGTGTTAGAATAGTCGTGACCAGGCCGCTGATGAAAGCCTTTGGCCACTAGCCGCGCCTTGTAGCGCTCAATTTCACCATTTTTTCCTCTTTTCAACCGAAACACCCACTTACATCCAATAACATTCTGGGTCGGAGAGGCCGGAACCAGATCCCAAGTCCCTTGGCGAACAAGAGCATCAAACTCATCAGACATAGCCCTTAGCCATTGGGGATGGCTCAAGGCTTGGCTCACACATGAGGGCTCAACAGTGGTGGGGAGAGGATATTTGGTGGCAAGATGCATCTGTTTTGGTTTGAAGATGTGATTGAGGGAGCGGGTGACCATAGGGTGAGTTCGATGGGTATTGGGCGGTGCTGGGTGGGGGGGGATTGGGGCCGGACTGGGTGAGGGGGAGCAGGGGACTGCAGAAGGCGAGACAGAGGCTGGTGACGAGGAGGAGACAGGGGACGGGGACGAGGAAGAGGGAGAGGGAGAGGGAAGGGAATCAACAGCAACAGGGGAGGTAGTAAGAGGGCAGGAAATACCTGAGCATGGGGGAGACGAAACCAGATCTGGACCGCAAGCAGTGGGAGGCGATGCATCCTGCGAGATGAGGATGATGAAGTCCTGCAGAGGTGGGTTGGCAGTGGTGGAGGGCACTGGCGGGAGCAAGGCTGGGAGAGGAGCCGGGGATGGAGCTGAGTCCGGTGCTGGAGAAGCAGAAGGAAAGAGAGAGGCTGATTTGGTGGAGGTCTGAGACGAAGATGTAGGAGAAAAATTAGTGATTTGAATACTGGGGAAATTTTGAATTTGAGAATCTGATTTTTTTGTAGAAGCCCGAAAAGGAAAGTAATTTTCATGAAAAATAACATGTCGGGAAATGAATATTTTATTAGTTTGAGTATCAAAACACTTATAACCAAGGTGATCAACAGAGTAACCAATAAAAATACATTGACGAGATCTTGCTTGAAGTTTATTTTGGGTGTATGGGCGCATCCAAGGGTAACAGGCACACCCAAAGGTTTTTAATTTTAAATAATTTGGTGGGATAGAAAAAAGCTTTTGAAAGGGAGATGTGAAAGACAAAACAGAAGTAGGTAAACGATTGATTAAATATATTGCAGTTTGAAAAGCATGGGACCAAAAATGAGTGGGAAGTGAACTGTGGTGAAGTAAAGTGAGACCAGTTTCAACAATAGATCGATTTCGTCTTTCACAAATACCATTGAGTTCTGGAGTGTAGGGTGTGGTGGTGAAATGAGAAATACCATGTTTTTGAAAATAATTTCGAAGAGCAACATATTCCCCACCTCCATCGGAATAAAAATTAATTATTTTACGCCCAAATTGATTTTCAACAAGAGACTTGAATTTTGGAAAAATAATTGAGACATCTGACTTCTTTTGAATTGGATATAGCCAAATATACCGACTGTATAAATCCACAAAAATAGTAAAATATTTGTGACCATCAATAGACGTGGTAGGTGCAGTGCCCCACACATCAGAGAAAATATATTCAAGAGGGGCATGGCTAGTGATGGAGGATGTTGAGAATGGGAGTTTGTGACTTTTAGAGCAGGAACAAGAATCACAGTAAAGACCATCAAATTTATTTATTAATGGCAAATCAATGACACTGAGAATTTTTTTAAATATTTTGGATGATGGATGTCCCAGCCTTGCATGCCAATTTATTGCCGATGCCTTTTCTCCAAGATATGCCATGGGCATTTGTTTAGAAGGGCCCATTAGAGGAACTTGGTACATCCCATGTCGGTTTGGCCCTCGCAATAGTATCGCCCCCGTGTTGCGATCCTTCACCAAGAAAAAATTAGGGTGAAATTCAACAGTAGAATTTGTGGTTTGACATAATTGAGAGACAGAAATAAGATTACGAGATGTTGTAGGTACAAATAAAACATTATGTAAAGGAAGAGATGAGGTGGGTGTTGTGAGGGTAGTATGACCAACATGAGTGATTTTCAAACCTGAGCCATCTCCAATAATTAGTTCATCAGGGCCATTATATTCTGAATGTAATGCCAGGTTTGACAAATCAGTTGTGATATGATTATTAGCACTTGAATCAATCACCCATTCATTAGTGTTTGGATTGGTAGATGCTGCATAGTGGACTGCGGGTCCTTGGCCTTGATTTCGAAACAGTGAGCATGTACGAGCAGTATGCCCAAAATGGTTGCAAAGTTGGCAGGATATATTGGGCCTGCTGGTGTTGGGCCGGTTTGGGCCTCCTCTGTTTCTATTGAAGTGATTTGGTCTTTGGCGCCCATTTCCTCTTCCTCTTGCCATTTGGTGGCCTGAACCAAAATGTTGTATATTGTGTGGCAATGGCAGAATTCCTGCACCATTGGACTGAAAGGAAGCATTTGAAAGACCAGAATTTGTAGAAAAAGTAGGATTATTACCAGCAAGTCTCCTTGTGGGCATAGCAGCAAAATGAGCAGTCACCGGTGAGTTTACAAGTCGGGTTTCTTCCCGATGCATGCTTTCTTCATGCGTAACTAGTCTGTCATGAAGTTCTTCAAAAGAAAGTGGCTCATCTCCAGCACGAATTGAAGCAAAGATCTCACGAAATTCAGGGCCTATTCCGTTGAGTACATGTACCGTCAAGTCATCGTTGGTAAGAGGTTTGTCAATTGCAGCAAGTTCATCGGCAAGCATCTTGAGTTGATGAAGAAATTCGGAGATAGTGCGGCCTTCACGGCGGGTGTTTTGAAGCCTTTCCTTGAGTGTGAAAACTCTAGACCTTGAGTGATTGGCATAGAGGTTAGCTAGAGTTCTCCAGGCTTGTTGGGAAGTTTCAGCAGCAGATATGTAGGGAGCAATTGGTTCTGAAACTGATGTAAGAATGGCGTGACGAATCGACTGATCTTGGCGGATTCAGAGCTCAAGGGGTGAGTCCGAGACTTCTCCGATTGGTGCTGGTGGGCAAGGCTTAGATCCATCAAGAAACCCGGTTAATTTGTAGACTGTGAGGATGGACAGAAATTGTGCCCGCCAAGAAGGATAATTGCTCGGAGTGAGTTTGAGAGGAAAATGAGCAGCAGCATTGAAGGTGATGATAGTGTTCTGTCCAGCAGAGATGGCAGCATTAGTGGATATAGGAGGAGAGGTGATAGTTGCAGAGGATTCGCTGGCCATTAGTTATGCTCGTTTGAGAGAATGGCTCTGATACCACTAATGAGGTGAGGAAGAAGATTGAAGGTAGAAGTTCAGATATGTATTCACTGGTTTTTACATGTATATATATACAAGAACGGAAGCTGTCCTATTTTACACTTATGGAAAGAACTGATGAAAAGGAAATATACAAAAGGAATGAAATCTTAATTATTGCAGATTGGCAGAATAATCGGGAGAATCATCTAAGCTTGATTTCCTTGGTGATTGAGCCATTGACGGAGAATCATTCAACTTTGATTTCCCTTGTGATTGAGCCACTGATGGTGCAGTATCTGCAGTTGCCTTAATAGTTCTCATCCAAGGAAAAGTAACTTGTTCTCATCCAAGGAAAAGTTCTTATGCCTCCTGGTGATTGTCGTGAATGCTTCCAAGACCGCAACTTCTTAGCCACCTTGGCCACCTTCTTCAGTTCCGGCTCAAAGCCCTTCTACGATAGCAACATAGACTACGATAGCAACATAGGCTCCATCGATTGTATTAAAAATGTGTGTTCAATACAAGGCTTGCATCCAACCTAAAATCAATTGGCAATAGGTAGAGTAACCCTCTTTATATTTAATCCACAAGCTTCTTATTTTTATATTTGATGTGGGATTTTCCCACTTAACACGCCCCTCACGTGCAAATCCACTATAAATGTCGAGTCTTATCAGGTGGGTTAACACACCCCTTTAAATGCAGGCCCGGTACCTCTGTCAGGTGAGCTAACAATAGGCTTCCCATGATAGAACCTTGGCTCTGATACCATATTGAAAATCCTGCATGTAGACTCAATACAATGCTTGCATCCAACCTAAAGTCAATTGACAATCAATTAGCAATAGGTGGAGCAACCTTTTTATATTTAACCCACAATGATTTTCCCACTTAACAGATTGTATCCCTGGTCAGTTATGCCTCTTTCTCTCTGATTTTTGAGTTTTCTTTTTGTTTGCTGAATGAGAAAGCAGGGGCATCATATGTATGATTGTAAATTGTTCTTTGCTCTTCTTCATCAGATGCCTTTCTTTCCCTTTCTAGCCACTGTTCTTCTCTCTTTGCCACCATTTCTCTTCTCCCCTCCTTCTTTTCCGCCTTCCTTGGCCGCGATTGGATTCATGAGGAACCCAACAAGGGGTTCATCGCAAACCCAAACGATCTGGGTTCCTTGCGAACCTAGATCTGAGTCCGTGGGAACCCAACAAAGGTTCTCGCAAACCCAGACGATCTAGGTCCATGGGAAACCCAGCACTGGGTTCTCACGAATCCAAATGATTGCTTAGGTTTTTCTTTCTTCCCCACTCCACTCTTCCCCTTCCAAATTACATGTGAGATCCTTTTTTCTTTTTCCTTTTTTTGAATTTGATTTGGATTGCTGTGGTTTTTGTTGTTAAATTTTAGAAGGGAAAATCAAAGAAAATCAAGAGAGTTGCCTGGTGAATGGCTGGCATTGGAGAAGAAATTCCAAGGGAGAATCTGGATTTTGGTTTTATTGTTAGTTTTGGGGGTGAATGGCCGGCATCGGAGAAGAACTTCCAACTGTTACATTTAACATCTTAATTTCTTCAGAAAGGGAATGGTTTTCTTTCCAACGTGGAGTAGGGTCGATTTGCAGCGTATTATAAATTTTAGTCTAAGGAAGCACCTTTTATGAGTTGTATTATCCATGTCATTAAAAGAAACAAGAAAAATGGCACGTTGACTGGATTGATGGCCTTAATAACGGAGTAATTAAAATTATGCAGTGTATAAAGTTGTGGATTAAAAAGTGTATAATATAGTTAAAAGTATAAAAATTATATAAAATTCACATTTAACATTTTCTAAATCTGCTCCCCTCGTGCACCTGGCCTTTGGGCCTAGTGGCAACTGCCATAATGAAAGGTGCATCCCTCCCCGAGCGTGGGTTCGACTTGCGCCATGACTAATTGTTCAAAAAAAAAATGTTGTATTTTGAGTTAATAAAGATTTAACAGGAAATTAGTTTTTTTTAGAAAGTAACAATTAATAAATTA